CCAATAAAATTAGATGGGAGATGAGGCTGGGAGCAGAGCAGTACAGCCTCCCCTTCAGTGTTAGGTGCTGTTAGGTGTTCCCCACTCTTTGGGAAGTGCTGGATCTACCCCTGGGTACTGTCATTCTCTGCTGACATCCACAAGAGCAGCATCAATGTCAGTTGAAAACACAACTGCCTGCCTTACCTTTTCAGGAATAGTTGCAAACAAGTTTCAGGGATGGAAAAATAGAGCAAGCAGAGGTTTAAAAAGGAGATAGGTTGATTTGTGTTTTTTCACATTACTGATTTCAAACACAAATCCATCAAGAAGCAAAAGTAAATAACTCAAGAAAGCGACAACAGGTAAATCTTTAAAACAAAAAACTTAATAAAAATGTAAAACTTACAGAACAATGCACAGAAAAGCATAGGTTTTTAAATACTTTTACTATCTCAAACACCTTGATGGCATAATAATTAAAATTATTTATAAATTAAATGTTATTGTTAACAACCTATCCTTCAATGACTAGAGCAAGGAAATCCAGGAAGAGCATACTTTGTGAGAAACCCATGAGTACAACATAGCCATGATCTGAGGAAATAAATGTTCCTACTGCTATGCACGCCCTGGGAGGGCATGTTGGGGGGGGGGGGGGGGAGGGCATGTGCCCCTGAATCTGTATGTGGGATAAGGGTGGACTGCCGCTGTGGGCTGAGGCTGCTTCAGGCTTTTCCTGGTGGGGAGCTGGGGTGGGCTGTGCTTGGGGCAGGTGGCAGCGGTGCTGGGATGAGGGCTATGTGGGGGGGGGAGGCTGCAGACACCCCAAAATTTGCTGTAGCCGTCTCCCACCTGGCCCAAGCACAGCCCTGGCCCAGCCCCTCCTCTCACCAGGAGGAGCCCAGTGCCACCCCCAGCCTGCAGCAGCAGCTAGCCCTTGCCCCATGCACAGATCTAGGGGCACATGCTCCCCATGTGCTCCCGGGGCATGCGTAGTGGTGGGAGCTGTGCCCCTCACGTCATCCAGATGAGCCACTCATGGATCCATCCCATGGCCTGCCCCAGCCCAAACCTCACTCCCTCCCTTACTGCGGGAGCCTTGATCTGTCCCCTACACACTCCTTCCCTCTCCCACCCGTTCCCCAACAACAGACTTGCCAGCCAAACGCTGGTCTCCATGCTGCAGGTCTGTGCTCCTGGCTGCCTGTGTGCTGCACTGTGGCTGTGCGCATGCATGGGGCATTTATTGGCCACATTATCAGCCACATTAGCCAAAAAAAGCTGATTGCCAATTATTGTCAATTTTCCTTATATCAGTACTGATCTGATAGGGGACCAATGTATTGCACCTCTAGCAGTAATGTACCTGTTTATGTTCATAGTTACACATCAGAATTGCACTTCATGCAGCTTTTTTTAAACATTTCATATTTGTGTGCCTCCTGCAATGCTGAATATAATTTATATAAAAATAAATCTGAAAACACAATTTGGTCATAATACACTGACACCAGGTACTGTGTGCATATATAACTCGTTTTTTATTTATATACTGGCTTTGTTTGAACAACTGAGGGCAATTCTAGTCTCTGTTATAAATCTTGCATACACTGAAGACTAATTCAAAACTTAATTGCAATGTACTTCTAGTAATTCCATGGAATTAGTGACTAAAATAAAGTGAAATCAGAATTGGGTCCAGTCTATGTGAACTCATGTTTCAAGAGCTCTTTTGAAGTAGTATTCCTTTCCTTCTATATAATCAAAATAACTATAGATAAGGAAAGAAATATTGCTCCAAAAGATGCTGTCCTTGGGTGTCTTTACATATGCTCTGGGAATATGGGAGAAGTGTTTTAATTAGAACTCTCAAGAGCTGCTATAATTAAAGTGCCCGCAATGTTTTCTGTAGTCAGCTTCTGGCACATCAAAATGGTGGCAGGGGTGCTTTAACTAAAGCTCATTCAACAAGCTTTAGTTAAAGTGTCCCCACTGCCATTTTGAAGCATTGGGAAGCTGAATACACAAGACACTGAGGCTGCTGGAGTGTGCTAATTAGCAGGCTGGACTGCTCATTAGCTGCTGACACATGCTAGTCAGTGCTAATTAGCACGCTCCAGCAGATTCAATTAAATGAGCCTGCTACAATGCGCTATAATTATAGTATGTCAGATCAGGCATCCCACATGTCTACAGGCACCCTTGTGCTTAGAATATACAACCTGTGTTTCATTTTGATTTTGATCATGTGGTGAAAAGGAACAACTTAAATGCAATAAAAAGAATTGGGTTCCTTGAAATCCAGAGAAATTAACATGATTGCCAGTCTTCCATTTGCTGGAAGAAGAGGGACTATAATAGCCATATTATATATATGTAGTCATATAATATATCAATTAACAAATCTGTTTATATCACATCCATGATTCGGGCATCTTGTCACATTTGCACCTTTCTCAGTAATCCATTCATACAGGCACACTCCTAGGATTCCAACCCTTTATGCTGCTTGTAGTTTCTTTATCACAAAAAGAAACAAACAGCTTTCCTCCCATATGCCTGCGAAAGTGCTTTTTCCACTAATGTCAGAAAAAACACTCCCCCTCACCCCATTTTCACATTCATTCAGGGCCAGCTTGTGAAAGTATTACATGGGACCACTGAACAATAGTGACTTTTATCCAAGAAATATCAGACTTTTCCTGTGCAGAGAAGCAAGCCCCAAGATAGAGAGATAATTTGAGGCCAGGTCTCCAGACTCTTGAACTAACCCATATGAACCCTCTTGATAGTGTTCAGTATCTGACATGTAGTAATATTCCATGCATCTTTTGACTCAACTCCCCTCAAAGTCTGTGAAAGATGCTAATTTCAACAGGAGATGAAGTTGACACTTCAGGCACTTGACGGATGACTGAATTAATGGTAGTCTCCCACTTTTATTTTTTTTTCCAAGGGGAAACCCTTTTAGAAAAATAGGAGTCTACCTCATATGCATATTTCATGGCCAAAAACCTGGAAAGCCTTACTCAGTATTTATTTGGAATAGAATTTCCATTATTTTCATTAAGTAAAATATTATAGGATTTAATCTTTGGGCCTAGATTGTAGCACCTGTACTTAGCCATGAAGTCTAGTATACTCATCATAGGGACAGAAATTACACATAAACTGGTATAAGTGATTGCAAAGCTGTTCAGATCTGTAACTCAACAGAAGTTCAGTGTGCATAAACTATTTTCTAAAGGCTGGCACTGATTTAAGATGAACCTGGATGGATGTAACATCAGACTTAACTGATTGAGACTAAATTGGTTGATTGAACTTCTGTCCCAGATCCCCTCCAGATTCATATTCACAGTTCCTCAGCATCCCAGGATGCTTTGCATCTTCCCTGCAAAGGTGGGTGGACTAGCCTTGGCCCAAGCTGCCTGTTCTGGCTGAGCAGGGAGGCATGCTCTAGAATCCCCTGGCTTCTGGTCTGGGCCACTAGAGGCATATGGCTGCTTTTATTGAATCAAACATGAATGTCTATTCACTTCCTTATTGGTTCAATCTATGCAGCTTAGGCTAACCTTGTATACCTTGACTTTCAAAAAGCTTTTGTTGTGGCATCCCATAATGTTCTCATCAGAAAATTGGAAGACTGTGGGCTTAACTGCAAGACAGTTAGGTGGGTAGGAAGTAGGGCTGTGCAAAACAGCATCGTTCCACTTTGACTTCTGTTTTGACGTTTTGAAGGAACAGTGTTTCGTTTCGAGTCTTGTTTAATTTCAAAAGCACTATTCCGTTTAGTGTCATTGAAACTGGTTTGCTGTTTTGACATTTTGCCCACCCAGCACCAGGAAGATAGGTGCTGCCACTGGCTCCAGCCGGCAGCACTAGCCTTCTGTCATCTGGCAGGCAGATCAGGGGCCCACACCTCTAGGAGGAGTCTGGCACAGCCCCCACAGTCCTCCCAGGGGTGCTGTCGAGCTTCCAGTCTGCCTGCTGGATGACAAGAGGCTGGTGCTGCCAGCTGGGGCCAGCGGCAGCACTGATCTTCCCAGCATGGGGTCCTGTCCAGTGGCACCAGCCTCCTATCATCCTTGAGCTGGCTTCAGCATGGGGCCCGGGGCATATCAGCTTGTGCAGGGATGCACCACTGCCCTGAGCCTGGGGTGTGGGCAGATCCCTTCACCAGCTGATTTGCCCCGGGCCCCACACCCTCCACAGGCTAGCTCTGGTATGGAGCCCAGGGCATATCAGCTGGTGTGGAGACCCACTGCCACACGATCCCAGGGTGGGGGAGGGTCCCCACATGAGCTGATTTGTCTCAGGCCCCACACCCTCCTCAGGCCGGCTCTGGTACAGGGCCTGGGGCATATCAACTGGTGCGGGGACCCGCCGCCATCCTGATCCCAATTCTCAGCTCATAAAAATTGCCATAGCTCTATTAAAATAAATTCTTGATTGCATGGCAATTGACAAAAGCTGGGATGAATCAAAGTGACACTCAGTTAAGATTCTAAAAGGAAAACCATCTTTGTAAGCAGTAGCATTCATAAACTTTTTTTTTTTAATAAATAAAAAAATACTCTGTTTGTATAACACACATACCTGCTAACTCCTTGTACTGAATACTAGGACTAAACTGGGAAATGAAATATACTAACTCTCAATACTATACCAGGAGCTTTCAGTTCCCATTACCATGTCATACTCAGACTCTGTTTCACAGGCTGAAATGCACTCTTGGGCAGACAGCTTACACATGGCCCATTCATCACTTAAATCCTCTTTAATCCCTCTTTTGAGATTTAAGTGGGATTTATGTGATACGTAGTCCTTGTACTGACCCTATGCCCGAGGTGAATTTCACCCTATGTTTCCATTTCATGTGTACTCCCATTTCACATAGTGCTATTTGTACCAATTAAAGCCCTTCTTCCAGTTTATAAACCAAACCAAAACAAACCAGAACAAAACAAAGCAGTCTCTGCATTGCTCTCCAAGTTGTTATTGTTGCTACTTTTTACCTTATTCTTCTTCCTCTTCCGTCGGAATCTCAGGAGTTCTTTATGTTGCCTTGACACAAAATTTACAGCTGCGTACTCCAGAAGTGCAGAAAATACAAAGAGCAGGCATACTGCCATCCAGATGTCAATGGCTTTGACATATGATACCTACACAGAGAAAAGAGCAACAGACTGAAAATATTACAAACCACAGATGTGTATTTTGGTATCTCATAATGTCAGGGGAAAATAAATTCATGCCCCTTGCCGCAGTTCTATTTTTACCAAACAAGCACTAGCATGAAAAGCTGATTATATAATAGAGGCAAAAGATTCAATCTGTATTCTGCAATTTAATTTAAAAATGTGCGATACCTATATTTTGCCTGGTCACAAACTAGTCTTTTCAAAACAGAAATTTTGTTCTTGGCTAACATCTCTTCGTGGTCTGTTTTACATTGCATTTATCATAACCCTGATAGTTTAAAAGGGAGAAGCAGGAAAAAAATGAAACATTTTTCTGGAAGTGTATGGGCTGTTTCCTACTGAGATATGATAAAGCACAAAGGGACTGGAAAGTAGCTGTAAGTGACTGGCTTGGCATTTACCAGGCAATGCTGGTGGGGAGAAAAAGGGCATAAGATAAAAGAGAACTTGGCTATGTCCATCTACTTCTGGCACAGTCCAGGAGGCACCAGAGGCAACCACTATACATTCAGACAGCTTCTTGTCTCCTATAACTTTGGGGATGGAGACATAACCGATTCCCTGATACACTCCCTCTTCCCTGTGTAGCTCAGTTGCAGGATACAATCTGGGCTTGTAATTTAGGGCTGGTTCTTGCTGTGCCTGAAAGCAGTTGGAGTTTTAACATTTCATCCAACAAAAGCAGAATCAGGCCCCAAATCTGCAGTTAAAAGTGTATCTGACTTTTTTTTTCCCTAATGTAATACTTTGCCGTTAGTCCCTCATTTAATGTGGAGTTGTAGTGTTTCCATTTGTTGCAGATTTGACTCTTTTACCTTTTAAATATTTTAGAGCTAAAACACACTCTTCTCCCATAGGAGAACTATATTTTTAAAAAGGAAAAAAGAATTGGCTGCAACAACTGGAATTTTAATCCAGTATTTACAAAATGTCCCAAGGTGATAATAGCAAATTGTTATTACATTAAATCATTCCCACTGGCTACAATGGGGAATGAAGATGGTCAGCTCTTCCTAGGATCAAGCCTTTATGACAAAATGAAAGAAAACAAAAAGAAATAGTAGTGACAGTTGGAGGCTTGAAAGAGTTAATTAGAAAAAACACAAACTCTGTTTTCTACAATGAGTTATTTCCTATGGAATGTTTTTTGTACTTATCTAGTTTAATTTATTTTCTTCGTTTAAAAAAAAAAAATCTGTGGATTGAGTGGAATAATGAAACGCACACAACTTGTAGATGGTGGTTTGTTTCCTCCCCACCCTCCTATTTAAACTGCAGTGTATTTGCTGCCATTCACCTAGGGATATATTTATTTTTGTGGTTCTTTGGTTAGCATTGATTGCTGTGTGCCTCTTGTGTCAATCAAGACCTAATGTCTTTGGGTTACCTTCCTTCTATTCATCCTTAATGAATGTGTATTTATGTTAATAAAGAGAGCATTTCAAAGGCTTTCAAAGGACTCTGATAACCATATATGATTCCTGTTTGTCCTAACAGAGTGATATCAGTATAATATGAGAGAGGGTGTTTTTTGCCTACCTTTGGGAGTGATGCTCTTGAACCTGAACTCTGTGTTGTCATGGTCAGTACAGTTGTTATACCTAAAGCTACTCGGGCTGGAGCGGCATCCATATTGATCCAAAATGATACCCAGGAGAGAATGACAATCAAGAGACTTGGAATGTACATTTGAATGAGATAGTAACCCATCTGCCTTTCAAGGTGGAAACGGACTTCAATGCATGTAAACTTTCCTAGTTACAACAAAGAGAGAAAATGTTTAATAGAAATAGTCCATTTAAAAAATTTCTAATGTCTAATTCTCTCACACAAAAATGTATGCTACTAGTTCAAATATATATGTCCTCTAATGCAGGGCCTTCCGACTGGTGGCCATTGAGCAATTAACACACAGCCTTCTTGCCTTGGTGGCTTCCTTTCCTCCTGCTGACATATGGCATGTGGCCCAGAGGTCTATATGCTAGTGTTGTGTGGGGCCCCTGCCATGCCAAAGTTGGACAGCTCTGTTCTATTAGAATGACTTGGATTCTGCAGTATATGTTTCACTATCCCAATGGAAATATCTGTTTGTGAGAGAGGCACAGAACCCCTTGAAATGTAATAGTCAATAACCTCTAGAACTGTACTTCTCCAAAAAGTAAGGATTAGATTAAAACACAGAAAACATTTTGTCACTGGTGCATAACCTATGACATTCAGTTGCCATCTGGAGGCTTTAGTCTTCAAAGGTTTTACTTTCTAAAAATATTTCTATCCTGAAACACGTTGACCAATAATGTAAACAATGGAAGCTTAAACTGGTTACTTGAGAAATTACTCTAAGTTGCCTAATTATAAAAAATGCTGAAAATCCAGCAGTCCCCAAAAACTTAATTAAAAACAGAATAAATGAGTGACTTATTCTCCTGGGGAAGTGAAGTATCATTATGTCCCACCAAGCAAAAACTGCTTCTGCTTTTTACCCCGAAGCCAGCAATTGTGTGGCAGTTTCTAAAACTGACTTTTTCTACTTTGTAATTCTGGTCATTGTGCATCTGAGTCGCACTGAAATGAAGGTGGTTAATCTAAAGTTGCTGATAATTTCTGATAGCAATAAATGCATCTACTACAGATTTCTGTGCTTACTTGAATGAATATATTTTAATCATTCTGAATTGGGAATGGATGCCTCATATTTCTTTTTATTAATATGTTAATAGCTATGGAGCTATTCCAGAACATATTGGATTTCCCATAATTTTACCCAATTCATTTTCACGGTTTTTTCTACCATCACATTATATATTTGATAAATCCTACACAATTTACCACCTTCGTGCATCAACCTGGCTTATTTTTGTATGAAGGGTAGGCATTAATTTCAAGTTGACTAAGAAGAGTTAGTTTTTCTTTACAGTCTGATATATTCATTTTTTTAAAAAGGTATATCTTTCCTTATATCTGGTATTTACATATTGTCCCAAAATGATAATAGCAGTGCATTGTTGCATCAAATTATTTCCATTGACCACAGAAGGCAGTGAAGATGGGGAGTTCATTGGGCATTTATGACAACAACAAAAAAGAAACCAACAAGAAATAGTAATGACAATTTTGGAGGCTTCAAATAATTATGGAAAAAAAACCTCAAACTCTTGTTTAGTATAGCACTGCCAACAGATCATTTGTCCTATCTGTAAATTTTGTAGTAAATCTAACAGTTTGAAATCCTTATTTTGCCAATTAACTAAAAAATATCCTTGTATAAGAACCCAGCATTGCCATTGATTCAATGAGACAATTTTTTGCCCCATATCTCTTCATTCAAATCTGTTCTGAATGTTGTAGAAAAGTTGTTTTAGCATCCGGTGTCTTCCATGTTTCTATCTGAATGCTGATATAGGCTCTCACCCTCTTCTGCCTCATTCAACTTGAGGCTAAAGCTAGTGCTTATCTTGAAATTTCTTCTGAACTATATTTTTGCTTACATCTCCTGGCCTTGCATTTTTGTGGTTGATCTCTGTTTTGGAACTTGGCACATCTTTCTAGTCTCCTCCTCCTTGCAGCAACTTCATACTGTTTCTTATACTGTGTCCTTTATTTGAAGTATATTCCCAGATTCACTATGCCATATACCCTATGTTCCTTTCTTAAACTTACTTCATTTAGCCTGAAATTTTGATCTTTGACAGAACCCAGAATGAACCTGATGCTAACAGATTTAACAGCATTAGTATGTCTAACCCCTGCCTCAAATTTCTGTACATTGTCATCTCTTTCTATGTCATATCCAAATTAAATCATTAAAGCAAGGTTCTGTCAGTAAGTTTTCTTACATGCCAGCATTACTTGTAAATAACACCTGTTAAAGACAGGGAAGCATCTTGGTGAAACATATTTGAAAATTTTCTGCTGACCCCCAAAAAGATTTTTTTTGCTTAGGGAGAAAAGCGGTGGTTCCATCTTGCTATGGAACCAGTGATGTGAGTTCATGTCTTCTTCCAGATTTGTATCAAGGGCTGTCTCCAGTGGACCATTAAGGCCCTAAATTGGGTACCTGATTATTCAGGGTGAGGACTCATAAGCAGGTGGGTGTGATGCTACTTGCATCAGTCACAAGTTATGTCATTGTTTTCAAGAGCTATGCTAGGTCAATGGGACTTGGGTGAACCTTTGACCTGCTAATCCTCACAGCAAAAGGACTGGAGAAGAAAAAAATAATCTCTCTTCTGTTGGCCAATCAGTTTTATCAAATTATCAGGCAGGTGGAGAGGTGTCAGAATGAGAGGAGGAAGAAAAGGCAAGCTGAAAAGAATGAAGCAGTCTGATGTACCATGCTGAGTCAAAGTAGTAAGGGTAAAAAAACATGGAGAATATCTAAGCTTCTAGCAAAGAGATTTCTTTAGGGACAGACTCACTGTAACATTTTCCCCTTCTCCACAAATTTCTTTTCCTTTGTAGCTGTAAAACAAGGGAATGGGAGGAAAAACTAAGGAAATGTAAAATGGATAATACATTCACTTGGTGTGTATTGTGGGTCAATAATGATAGTGAATTGAAATTTCCTGAAGTCATGACAGTGGGAGAACTTTATGCTCCAGATGGCATTATGATAAAGAAGTATCCTGATTACCCCAGATGAGCTGGAATTAATATATAGATCTCAGGCAGCCTAAAGTATGTGGCAGTAGGGTATGAACAATGAGTATTACTAGCCTAAAAGAAGTGTGGTTTCCTACACATGCAAGCTGACAGTGTAAGAAAGGGAGGAGAGTTGCAGAGGATAAAATCCTGTTTGTGCAAAAGATTCATAGTAAAAGGGCTAGTAACAGTCATAAAACCTGGAACACAGAGTAAGAGAGAGTTGGGGTTTTAAGTAAACCAGGATTAGTACTGAGTGATATTTAAAAGGATTAACACTGAAAGTTGTTTTTGTTTATTGCTTAAAAGGAGGAAATTCTCAGTGACAAAATGAAATAAATAATGAAGAGGCTTGTACTCTAGAAGTAAAAATAAATGAGAGGGGATGATAGAGAGAATTCACTAGTTTCTTATGGGAACAGTTGCTTAGATGTATGATGCTTCAAATTATCAACTTTGAATTAGGCTTCTTCCTGGGGGCTACCTGTTCTATGATGCACCTTTCTTGGTGAGGGGAACTGCTTCACGGCAGCTGCATGGCTGTGGTATATCATAGGAAATTAAATCTGTTGGTAGAGTCTAATCCATGGAAGAGAATTGGAGTAAGAGGCAGGATAATTATGAGTCTCATAATCAAAGAGGCAAATTTTGGAATAAACACCAGAAATCTGTGGAAGCCAAGCACTTTTTTAATGAAAGATATCATTTAGCTGAGAACCTAGCTTTCTGCTGAAATGCGTTCTCAATGGAAAATATTCAAGTATCCTTCCTAATTATTATTTCATATAGCTTCAGCATCAACTTAAGAGTAATCATGCAATCATTTTAAAGAGTGGGATGTGGAAAGATAATGCCAAGAACAGAGGAATCAAGTCTTTTGTGTTGTGAGAAGGTCAGCAGCCTAACTGCTCTTCTGTCTTTGACAATCTCCTATTTATGCTCTAGTAGGGCTAGGGTTCTGTTGCAGTCATGATGGTAAAGGAAATGTGTGACAGGCAAGGAGATTTTGTGATACCTTTTATTGGACCAGCTGTATAGTTGGGAGAGCTGTTGAACAAGCTTTGGGCATCAGGTGTCCTTCCTCAGGTCTTCTTCAGGTGCTTAGACCTCAGGACAGAAACTTGGTGCCCAGAAGTTTATCCAATAGGTCCCCTAATTACTTGGTTCAATACAGGATATCACAAAAAAGTCCTTACCTATTTATGCTTTGGACCGTTGCTTTAGCTGAGTATTACTTCACAAAAAAACTAGCATATGCGCTTTTTTTCTGCAGATGGATTAACAGTGACGCAAATTTAGCTGAACACAGGCCACATCTACATGAGACACTAACTGCACAGTAGCCCGATACTACTGCACAGTAGCATTGTGTGGCAAAAACTGTGATGTGATACTACTGTGCAGCAGAATCATAGAATCACAGAAAATTAGGATTGGAAGGGACTTCAGGAGGTCATGTAGTCCAGAGGGGATCTGGTGGCTGTTTACGAACTCACCAGGGGGGACCAGTGGAAATTGGGTGAAGTGGAAATTGGGTTCCCTCACGCACCACCAGGGGCTACTAGGAATAACAGCCACAAATCGTTAGAGACAAGGTTCAAGCTGGACATCAGGAGACATTACTTTACAGTTAGGGCTGCCAGGTTCTGGAATGGACTCCCAAGGGAGGTGGTGCTCTCTCCTACCTTGGGGGTCTTAAAGAGAAGGCTGGACATTGGCTGGGGTGTTATGACCCCATACTCGTTCCTTCCCCGTGCAGGGGGTTGGACCTGATTAGGTCCCTTCCGACCCTAACCACTATGAAACTAACCCCCTTCTCAAAGCAGGACCACCTCCAATTAGATCATTGCAGCCAGGACTTTGTCTAGCTGGGCCTTAAAAACCTCCAAGGATGGAGATTCCACCACCTCTCTAGGTAACCTGTTGCAGTGCTTCACCACCCTCCTAGTGCGAGAGTTTTTCCTAATTTTCCTAAGTTTTTCCTAACTTATACCTTCAGATCATTGCTTCTTGGTCTGTCATCTGTCACCACTGAGAATAGTCTAGCTCCATCTTCTTTGGAACCACCCTTCAGATAGTTAAAGGTTGCTATCAAATTCCCTCGCTCTTCTGCAGACTAAATAAACCCAATTCCCTCAGTCTTCTCCTCATAAGTCATGTGCCCCAGCCCCCAAACCATTTTTGTCACCTTCTGCTGGATTCTCTCCAACTTCCCCACATCCTTTCTATAGTGGGGGATCCAAAACTGTACACAGTACTCCAGATGTGGCCTCACCAGTGCTGAATAGAGCAGAATAATTACTTCCCTTGTTCTGCTGGCAATGCTCCTACTAATGCAGCCCAGTATCCCATTAATATTCTTGGCAGCAAGGACATACTCCTGACTTATATCTGTCTTATTGTCCACTGTAACCCACAGGTCCTTTTCTGCACAGGTGCTGCTTAGCTAGTCAGTACCCAGGCTGTAGCAGTGCATGGGATTCTTCTGTCCTAAGTGCAGGATATTGCACTTGTCTTTGTTAAACCTCGTGAGATTTATTTTAGCCCAATCCTCCAATTTGTCTAGGTCATTCTGAATCCTAAGCCTACACTCAAGTGTATCTACTATACCCCCCAGCATGGTGTCATCTGCAAACTTGCTGAGGGTGCAATCCATCCCATCTTTCAGATCATTAATGAATATATTGAACAAAAATGGCCCCAGGATCGATCCCTGGGGCACTCCACTTGATACTGGCTGCCAGCTAGACACTGAGCCATTGATTGCAGCCATAAAACACTCCAGACAACTTTCTATTCAGCATAAAATCCATTCAGCCAATCCATGCTTCCTCAACTTGCTTGCAAGAATGCTGTGGGAAATGGTATCAAAGGCCTTGCTAAAGTCAAAGTATATTATGTCTGCTGCTTTCCCTGAATTCACTGTTCCTGCATAGTATTAGGCTACTGTGTAGTAGCATCACAAAAAAGATGTTCATCAGCACTACTGCCCAATAACTAGGGTTACTGTGCAGTCATTTAGTACTTGTTTATTAGGACTGTGTGAAACTTCAGTCCCTGATTCGATTTAGCAGAGATTTGGCCAATTTGGTGGACAAATCTCTGAATCCAAATTGAATCAGAGGACCCTTTAACCTCTCTGAATCAAATCAGAATGCTTCAAATCCATTCAGAAAGTTTTGGCGATTTGGACATAGACACAGCTTTAAATGTTTTTTCTACATACCTCTAGGTAGCAGATGGCTTGTGAATGCTGTGATGCTGGGGCGCATGGAGTATCCCACAGAAGCACTGGGGGCTCCCCAGTGTGCTTGACAGCAGACTTGGAAGTGGATCAGAAGCACTTCCAGTCCACTTCTGGGTCTGCTGGAGAGAGTGCGGGGGACCCCCATGCACTCCCCTGGCTTGGCAACTGGTGCCTCCTGGGCCTGGGGGAGCACCTAGGGTCCCCCAGTGGCCGGTCACTGAGCCAGGGGGGCAGGGGGGCCCCCAGTCCATTCCCCAGTGGACCCAGAACTGGACCGGAAATACTTCCCTTCCACTTCCGGGTTAGCTGCCAAGCATGCAGGGGAGCCTCCCCTCCCCCCGTGCTCCTGTGGGACGCTCCATCCACCCCAGCATCTCAGAATGCATGAGCCATGCTGGTACTTCGAGGTATGTAGAAAAAACTTTTAAAGCTGTGTCTACGTCCAAATCGCTGATTTTCCGAATCAGCATCGAATCTTCAGATTTGGATTCAGCTAAATCGAATTGGGGACAGTGATCCGAATCAATGAATCAAATCATTGTCCCCGATTCAGGCCAAATGCAAATCCAAATTGAATAGGGCCCATTTTGCACACTCCTATTGTTTATACAAGTACTAAATGACTGTGCAGTAATGACTGCACAGTCAGCATCTTGTGTGCACATAGCCACTGTTGGCAAAGTGAACAGGGAAGTGTTTTTCACCAAATCTCAGCATACTAAGCCTAGGGAGCACCCACTAGAGCTATACCAGGAGACAGGTTAAAACAAACAAGAGAGTACCTTTTTATGCAACACACAGTTATCTTGTGGAACTCATTGCCACAGGAGACTGTATAAACAGATAGTATAGCAAGGTTCACCAAGGGACTAGACAAATTAATGGATGATGGATCAATTAATAGTTATTAAACAGAACAGTCACGAATGTGTGGCAGTGGACTGATCATTCTAAAATTATGAAGAATATGAATGAAGCAAATTGGGAACTGTTATCTACAAAGTCGCAGAATACAAGAACCAGTGGCTACACACTGAAAGGTTTGAAACAAACAAGAGGAAGTTCTTTCTACCAAGCACATAGTTAACTTGTTGAATTCATTGCTACAGGAGATTGTAGAGGCAGATACTACAACCATTTTAAAAAATGGATTAGACAAATTCATGGAGAACAGGTCCACTGAGAACTATTACATAGAACAGTTGGGGGCAGGGGGCTATCTTCTGACATTACCTATACCAATGATGGTTGAGGCCATGGGATGGGTTATATTAGACATGCCTTGTGTATATATATATTCTTGCTCTGTGGCATATACTACTTGTCACAGTCAGAGACAGTATACTGAACTAGCTAGACACAGAATGAATGCCTTATGTTCCTATGTTTTAAATGGAAGCAGTGTGCAGTAATAGTTTTCACTTAGGGACATTTTTGCTTGCAAGGTTTATAGAAGTGTTATTTAGGTAGGGTGGTGCTGTTTTTTTGTTTTTTCAGCATTTGGTATCTATGGCTATATTTATGATTGCATGTGTTGTGTGGAGGCTCAGGAAGGAGGCATGTGTGTTTGTAGGTGGTAGATGTAGGTAAAAGCAAAGCTGTATTTATAATTTTTAAATGTATGAGGATGAAAGATGGATTTTCTGGTTACTATGGTTGCGTTGCAAGGGTATGCTGTATTCCCATTCATCATTCTCCTAATCTATTACTGGTCAAAGTGGTACACAGAACAAAAGGGTGGAAACTGGAATGTTTTTGTCCCAGGACATTAATTATATTTGTTCTAGTTTGTTACTGGTAACGTTACATTTCTAGGCACAGATGGCCTTCCTAGGCATTTCAAGGCATAGACAAGACATACACGGGTCAATTTCATGGTGAAATTTCACCACATTCATTCCACAGGCTGACTACTGATTGTGCTATTTCTAGTATGTCTCAAAAAGAGAAAAAAGAAGAAAAAAGCTATATATTTTGTGCTGTAACTAAATTTAACAGAAATAATAACCGAGCACTTTCTGCATGCTATCCGTAGTCACACAGCATCTTTTTAATAATCCTTTTATTCTACTCTGTATGCCTGAGTGAAAGATATATTAGTTTTCAAAAATCATGATTAATTATTTTTCTACAGCATGTTTTCTTAATGGAGTATCAGTGCACAGAATCACATTACAAGTGCCTGACATAAACAGTGTGTCCTCAAGCACAAACTGCACATAAGTGATTGCAGATTAGCATAACATTATGAAGGGAAAAGGAACACTTGTAGTTGTTGTTTCTTTTGCCATCATCTTTTACTGCCCACACAACATGTGATAATCATGATGTTGAATGTAGAAGAAAAAAGAAAGACAAAGGGTGCAAGGATTAAAACAGTAAAAACAAAAACTTCTCCCAGTTTTATGGAATGAACTCCAGATTGAAGATGAACAAAAAATAAAGCATCCAGGCTAGATCGTGGCCCGTGAGAAGTGTCACAGAAGGTGCAGTCTGGGGGAGAGGAAGGAAAGGTGCCTTTCAGTTATGCTTGTGCTGTCCAGGTTCTGACTGTGATGGAGACTCGTGTAGCCCCAGAGTAAAGCAGCTGCTTTAATTTACAGAGAACTTCCAACAGCCTGCATACCTGCCATGGTGGAATTCTCCATTGATTTGTTACCTTGCGTTTACAGCTCCATGTATATCTATGCTTACTGGGGAACTTATGCAGGCCAGGTGGAAGGGGAGGGTGGCAGTCTGACTGCCCCCTATTATAATTTAAATATTGAAGAACTAGTTTTGTCCTAATTCATTTTCTGTGGAGATGTATGATCTGCAACATTAGGCACCGAACTAAAATATTCTCTCTTTCATTGTTTAATACTGTTTCTGTCTGAAATAAAACAGTGCAAAGCAGAGATTAGAGAAAGAGGTAGCTGGTTGGACTTCCTGGACACTATGGGTGACTGCCTATACATGTGCAGGCAGGCTGCTCCGACATGCTGTAATTAGAGTGAGGTGGAGCAGACTCGATTAACTGAGCCTGCTGGAGCATGGTAATTACTGCGTTTCAACAGACTCTAGCATCACATGTATCAGTGTCCCTGTGCTGAAAAATAGCAGCAGGGGCACTTTAAATAAAGCTCAAATGAGTTTTAAAGTACCCCCACTGCCATTCTTCAGCATGGGAACACTGATACATGCGAGGCTCAGGGTGCTTTTAGCGTGGCTCCTGGACCACATGTAGAAACACCCAAAGGTCTTCCAGTTTGTTTTTAGTGAGAAATGGTATGTAACAGTTTTAAGTCAATAAACCTTTTTACAGTTACAATGTTCTGCTCCTGCAGAAATCGCATACAGGACAAAAAGTTCTCGATAACTGAAGTATTTCAAGTCTGCCTGTGTGTCTGTCCATCCATCTTCTCAAGTACCTGGCAACAGTTTAGTGTCATCATGTCAATTATTTCAGAGCACATTATTCTGTGAAACAAACATAAGTGTTATAATCTTTAGATGTATTCAATGATTTATTAAGAATAACAGAAAGTTGCAGCTGCTGTCTTTCCAGTTGTAGTTGACTAGAAAGCTCTCCTACCTGTGTTGTAGTTTTTGGTGCAATAACATAAATCTTTCTCTTCTTTCAACAGAAACTGTGGTAGAGTGAGTCCTTCTGCTACTTGTACAGCTCCTGTTTCTTGCCATTCAAAAATGAGATCATTCATGGTGTATCCAACTAGGAAAAAATACAACCCGTGTCTGCTTCTAATTTAAAAATGCAGGTGATATACCTAATATTTATGTCCTATAAATGACATAGAATGAGAAAATATAATGGGCCCCAATGTACCACTCAAAGAAAGTACATCACCATTCATGCAGATCTAGGCTGATAAAGTTATGGGGGTTCCTTATGAAAACAGAAAGCTGAATAAGGGTGGGATTTTCAAAAGTTTCAAAAGAAGCAGGAAGGCTAACTCCCTGAGTCATTAAGACGAGTACAGATATTTTGCAAAGGTATAGAGTTGTTTGATAGTGCATTATACAGAGTTTCTTCTCTAGATCTAGATTACCTGGAAGCAATTTAGGGTCAAATCCTGCAAAAAGAACCATATAGATGGATTCCTACAGTTCTTTTTGTTGGATTGAGGCCCTATCTACTTTGAAAATGCATTTTATTTTTGCACTAGCTTCAAATAAAAATACAATTGCATTATTAGATGATGTGATGACATAAGGCTGAAATGGAACATAACATTAATATCCAGATTCCTGCATGACTAGATGTCTACCCCTAAGGCTATATTGTTATTATGTTTTTATATAAATTAATATTATACTTGTAGCATCAGGAAGAGTAGTTTTTAATTTGGTGCTTGTAAGTTGTTTGTTCAGAATTAGTACTGTAAAAACCAGCATCAGAACTAGACAGTAGAAATACTAACCAAGAACTAGACTCTGGCTTAGCTAAATGCTCACATTGATAATGAATGACACAGGCTAGGGAGAGAACTTACACACAAACCAGTGTAAGTGATTAGAAACTGGTTCAAATCCGTAACACCACAGAAGTTGATTGCACATAAACTGCTTTTAAAATGGCTGAAAAAACAGATTTAAGATAAACCTGTAGGGATGTAGTATCAGACTTAACTGATTTAGGTTAAATCGGTTTATTCAAATTTTGTCCCAGATCCCCTTCAGATTCAAGTTCACTCACAGTCTCCCTGAATTTCAGGACTCTTTGCACCTCCCCCGCAACCCACGCGTGCCCCCCCCCTCCCCCCCAGGGTGGGTAGGCTAGCTTTGGGCCAAGCTGTCTGTTCTAGCCAAGCAGGGTGGTGTGCTCTAGCACCCCCCAGCTCCTGGTCTGGGCCCCTGCAGGCATCTGGCTGCATTTCTGGAATCAAAAGTAAATGTCTGTTCACTTGCTTATCAGTTCAATCTAGGAAGTTTAAACAAACCTGCAAAGATTGAATTGATTCAGCCTTTGGCTTTCTGACTGCCTGTACTTAGCCATAGGAACCCACATATGCAGACACACTTTGCTTAATAGCTGTTTGCATCCCGTTGGGAAAATCTTGCCCATGCAAAACACCAGTGTTACCTGTCTGAAAGGAAATGGGAAGGGGCAAAGTGAGTTTTGGCCATGGCCCTTTTGCCCCTGCTCTTCCCCATACTGCTTCCTGGGCACAAGGCAGAAAATGTCTCCATATTTTCTGTTTGAACAGCTACCTGGAATTCACCTGCTTCACCTGGTTCCTTTAAATTTGAAATTAATTAAAGGGTAAGCTTGCCCAAAGTCTAATACCTTTAATGAGACATTGCAACTAGATTCCAGACCCAAATGTCACAAATATCCCCTAGTGGTATAACAGGTAAAAACCACCAGGACATTGGTGTTCAAAATTCATACCTACAAATGAATTATGTAGCTTTAGTACATCTGTGCTCTTTGCTGCTTTAGCATGCTGCCTGAAGAATTAGGTACAAGAATGCTGATGGTCTGTGTAGATTTAGTCTCTGAGAACTGGAAAACATTTTCCATCTTTATTACCAAATTAATGTTCACAACTCTCCTAAAGGTAACCCCTTCTGCCTGAAGCACTGAACTTCAGTCTATGTAACAGAACTCCTCTAATAAGCTGCTTAATGTGTGAGAAAAATCCATGGGCCTTCCCCCCTGCAAAATTCAATTACCTCATTATGCTTTGTCTGTGTCTACATGTATAACATCTTTTTGTAGTGCACTGAAACCCTGAGTTCACCAGTGAAGAAAATATGCCTGAGACAAGCCTGCATTCTGTGTGACCTGGCCGTACTTCATAACATTAATTCAGGGTTTCCAACCTTTTCAAATAAGTATACCCCTTCTGACTCAAAGTTTCAACTCCTGTATCCCCTTATTTTTTTCTTATTTTCAAAGGGGATGCAGATTGAGACCCCCATGGTGATGGAGGGAGTGGGGCTGAGGCAGGTACTGCACAGCTAGGGCAGGGTGGGTGTGGGATGGAGCCATGAGCAGCTTGTCTGCAGGGTGTGGGGGGAGTGGTTCCTGCTACTGCATGCACCTCAGGAGGGCATTGTGGGGGGGGGGAGGGTGCATGCCCCTGGATCTGTGCACGAGGCAAGCTGGGGCTAGGACAACACTGGATTCTTCCCTGCAGGAGGCTGGGCCAGGTTGGGCTCAGGGCAGGCAGTGGTGGCACTGGGAGCAGGGTTACAGGAGGGGCTGCAGCCACTCCAGAATTCTCTGTACCCCCCACCCCCCGTCCTCCTAGCATTGGTAAGAGGCAAACTATGGGAACATGCGGGGGGAGCTGCCACCGCTGCACCCTGGGGCACACTCCATCCCTGCCTGCCCACCTTTGCGTACCCCCTACAGTCTTTCGAAGTACCTCTGGGAGTATACCTACCCCTGGTTGACAACCCCTGCTTTAATTGAATGAGCTTAAGACAGTTTGCTCTACTTTGCAACTGTTGTTTTCCTTGTGTTAAATCTTATACAAACACAAGTATTTTATTTATCCTTCACTGGGTTTGGAGCAGTCTGCTGAAACTGAAATCATAACATTTTAAATTGTCATATTGTCTCCATGTTTAAGAATAGGTGTGGTGTAGAGTTAATTTAAATCTTTCATTAAATAAAAGTGGCGACATTCTTATTTCCCTGCACTGTTTTACAATACATGACATTCCATGATATACCCAGCTTTAAAATCCACCACTGACTGCCCTATACTATGAAATCTTGAAGTATGTATAACTCTTATCAATTTTTGCATGCATTCAGATGAAAGCAGCTGTGTGTAAAACAGATTATCATTTGAAGCATGTAGATTATAGCCAAGAGAAATATCCCCTGAGTAAAAGTCACTGAACTGACAAGAAACAACTGCTGTGTCAAAATGTGTTTCACTAAATCACATTCATTCATTTATAATGTGAGTTTTAAATTTTAATTGCCTACCCAGATCAGTTTTTTCCTATGATACCATTTATTTTCAATATTAGCACATTCTGCTAAACTTTGATATGGTATATTTATCATAATTTGGTTCTGTTAAAATATAAAAATTACAGCGTTGACATTTTCAAATAGCACAAATTTAGTTTTGCAGATCGACATTATATTTGGGCACTAAAACACAAACAGGTGTTAGTAGAATTGAGTCTAAGTAAAAGGAATCTAAAACAGTATCATGCATGTTTTCTTCTAACCTCCTATTTAACCTGAACAACTCTCAGTTATTTTAGAATCACCCCTTCCCACTTACTAAATGTGTTTTTTTTTTACTTGCTACGGCTAAACTTGACCTACTAAGTTAAGGAAATATATAATAGTGTCACAAGAGTAGGAAGATGTAAGTTATACCATCTCTGACTCTGTAGCTAGGGACAGAAGTTACACACAAACCAGTAAAAGTGATTACAAACTGGTTGAGATCTGTAACAAACCAGAAGTTCAGTGCACATAAACCACTTTCAAAATGACTGAAATCAGTTTAAGATAAACCTGTAGGGATGTAATTTCAGACTTAACTGATTTAAGTTAAATCAGTTTACTGAACTTCTGTCCCAGTTCCCCTCCAAATTCAAGTTAATTCACAGGCCCTCAGCATCCCAGGATGCTTTACACCTCCCCTGAACCCTCCTCCCCCCTCTCCCCCCTTGCAGGGTGGGTGGGCTAATCTTGGCTCAAGCTGTCTGCTCCAGCCAATCAGGGGGATGTGCTCTAGCACCCCCTGGCTTGTAGCCTGAACCACTGCAAGCATGCGGCTGCATTTCCAGAATCAAAATGAATGTCTGTTCACTTGCTTATCGGTTCAATCTACACAGTGTAGGCTAACCTGTGAAGATTGAATTGATTCAGCTTTAGGCTTTTTGACTGTCTGCATTTAGCCTGTGAGATTAATCTGTGTTTCAATTTTTGCTTAATGAGGAATTGCTACCTTGGTGGGCATTACTTTAACAGAGAATATTCTTCATTTTTAACAATGAATAAATACACTCCCCTTATGTTTTTTCCCCCTAAAACATTCCATTTACTATATAATTCTTCTAAGTCAGTATAGCTCCAAAATTGAGAGTAAAAAACTAATAGGAAAGGAGGATCTAGCATCATGTGTGGACATGAAGCAGAAAATAGGCAGAACATTTGTAAGGCCTAAGCCAATTGTGCAATAGCAAATCTGAACCATTGTCAGAAGGCTGTCCCACAGCACTTTGTGTGAAAGGAGTTAAAAACCCTAAGCCATAATTTTCTTAGAAATTCTTGCAGAATGAACAGTACTGTGAAAGAGCTGAGTTTATGATAATGCTGAAAAGATTCCTATGTTTTAGTGCATTTTGTGAAGAACTGTTGAAATGATAAAGGAAATACAGTACATCATAATAGTGGTAACATAGTGGTGTGTGTATTGTATATAACTTAATTTGTGATGGATCATATTATTTCTTATTATAGCAGAACGATAGTATATACATAGCAATTGGCATTTAGAAAATCTACACTTAGAATGGCCAGTTGCTCACATTCCAGATAAGTACTCTAACCACAGAGCTGCTGGATATAATGGGAAAAGGTACTATTATTTCTTCCCCTATGACTTTGTTGGCCAGTTCGTTCTGGTAGGTGAGATCTGAGACTGTCAACTCATTCAGGCTCTACAGATGAAGCAGGGAATGTCAAGTTTGTGAGTGCTGTTGAGGTTAAACTGATGAGCAGCTAAATGT